GTCGCGCCGAGATGATCGTCGAGATTATCTACCGCTCTCGCGCGTGAGCATTTCTCGCGAAATATTGGGAAACTTTTCTCTTTCGTGCAAATTCCCCGTTCTCCCTCTCGTTTCCTATTTCATATTCGTATTTCACGTAAGTTCTTTGTATTTCATGTCATGATATCGATCGTATATATCTGGAATTACCCGCATAATTAACAAGATTTTTGAAATGTCTTATTTTTTTATCTTTAATCGGATAGGAAACGTTAGCTTAATCAGATGATCAATTAGTTTAATCAAGCTTTAAATATTATATATTGTTAATTACAAAATTCTATATACATGTATTTTTTCTATCAATCTAGTATTTGAAATTTAAGATGAAAAACAAACCCTTAGCTGATGTTTGTTTATTTGATTTCAATTAATTATCAACGAAATGGCTTGCTATATAGAGAAATATTGTTAAAAAATAGGTAAAATTTTTATACACTTTTTATGTAACTGTGTATTTAAATTTTCTCTCTCTTGGACTTTGTGTTTAACAATATATTTCAAGAAGAATTGAATCGATTCTGAATAATTGTAAATCCCTTTACAAGAAAAAAAGTGGAAATATTCGCAAGCTAATATTACATGTAACATTTTTCTTCGATATCTATTTTGTTTATAAAAAAAAATTGACTGATGATGGAATATATATTTTTGTGAAATATATTTTATTGTAAAAAAAATTGTAAAAAAATAAAATATTTACTTGCTAGAAATATAATTTTATTTCGCCGTATTTAAATAAAGATTAATTTCAACGAAATAATTATATCATACAAATTTTTTAAATTTCTTTTTTTCAATGTATTATTCTTCATACAATTTTGAAATAAAATGCAAATTTTCATATCGGAAAACGCAAAAATTAATTTACTTGACAAAGTTTGTCAAATAACTTAATGTTTAACATGCATAAAACATTTGGAAAAAAATTATCACAAAAAAATGATGCTCTCTGAACTTTTGAGAGGCACATCTCTCTTACCAGATTAAAAGTTAATCGTTATTCACATCACAAGTACATCATAATTGCATTACATTACAATTATAATTATTTCTTTTCCTTTGATATACTTTCATGCTGCGAGGTTACGTCGTGCAGAGAATGTATTTCAAGTATAAATCAACTCATCTATCTATCTATCTACCTATTTGCCTTCAACGCTACGAGCTCTACTCACTCTCTCTTTCGGAATCTTGCAAATAGTTTGCTTCCTTTTACCGCACGCACCGCCGTGCAACGCTCGGTAGAAATGTCGTTTGCTACAGGAACCGGTCTCTTACGTTCGCAACCGTTCGTTACTGTTAGTTCCGCCTGGCATAGCGCGTTCGTAACGTAAACACGTACGTGTGCACGGTACCGTAGAGAGAGGCCGGAGAACGCGTTTCGAAGGTGTAGCTGCTTTGCCTTCTGCCATTCGTTACCTTTGCCGCGAGTACACGCGCATATAGATGTGCAACGGGCGGTTGTTTACGGTTGTGTAAATAACGGGGGCTCGTACAACCGGCCGTGGGACATTTCACTTGGTTTCTTAAGCGTATATTGGGCGTGATACGTGATGACTGATTTCTTACCTCATTGTAATATTGCGCAGCAAAAATTAATCATCATTGTTTTACGGTCGGCCTCCCTGAATAATTTTCGGTCTTGACGATCTCGTCGGTCTTCCACAAGTTACCTTCACGACTCCGACCGTAGCTTTTATCTCTCTCCCAGAGAGAAGAAAATAGACCTCGCGCGTGCAATTAAAATAATTTGCACCGCTTACAACGGAAAGTGTAACGACCAGCTAGAAGTTCGGAAGAGTTAATTTGTAAAACGGCCCATTCGGTTAAATTACGCGCCGGATCTTTGTTGTAAAACTTCCTCTTCCTTGAAAATTGCCGGATCATCGAGCGTGTATCACTTGTACATTCACTGCCAAAGCATCGTAATCTTGGCACAGCATGGTTTTAGAGCCCTTCCGCGATGGGTAGAAGGATTCATGACGTGTCTGCAAGTATGAATGCATAACCCCTACCGTGCCGCTCGCCAATTTTCGTACATCGATGTATCGTGAAAGGAACGAACGTTGTAGACCCGTAATGAATAGCTCGGGTGGAAATGTACTGGGTCAGGTGCAGGTACCAATGGAAGGATAGCTCGATGAATGTAGCGAGTGCTGCGCAGGAGAGGGGAGATATAGGTGCAATCAGCGCGATGATAACCAGTATTACCGCGTCTACCCATCCCAGGCCACCGATCTCCGCGGCGTAATTCCCGAGGGTTCTATTTGCGACGAGAACAAGCGGCTAGTATGACGGCAATCCGGGGGATGATGTATTCGGTGTTATTTATTTCTAGCGATACCGAGCCGAGCGATTGGCCGAGTGACAAAATAGAAATCAGTTCAGGAAGCTCTCGGATATTCGTGCTTTCAGTCAAGCTTTGTCCCTTCGGTTGATCTATTCATCGGTATTCTATTTTTCATATAAATTGTATTCTTATCGTAATGTCCTTTTTAGAATAAGGAAGCGTTCAAAAATCGCTCGTGCATTTTAATATTCAAGTGATTTCTACATCTGATTTACATTTTTATTTAATTTCAGTACTTTAATTTTTACAATTTTATTTGATGCACTGAGGAAAATATAAATTGCGGCCGAAACGTTTGTGTATTTACGTAATTTACTACATTCAATAAATGTTTTATAAACATTCGCGTTGGTTCTTATTAGCTTTTCTTATTTGGCTTAAATTTACATTTATTTCTTATTACATAATTACACGGTGATTAGAGCCTTACTTTGTTCTTATAAGGAGATAAAGAGCCACGTTTGGTTATTTGCTTTTCACTCGCTTGCGCGTGCATGGAAGATGGAAGTTTAAACTCGCGAGTGAGTTTTCATCGAGAGGAAAACTAAGGAAGACGCGACTAACAGCTGGATGAAACTTTCTCACTGCGTGGCATACAAAGTAAACTTGCTAACGTTGTCTCTCACTCACTAACCCGCTTTTCTCTCGTCGTCCTCGTCTCCCTCTTTCGGATATTACCCTCTCCCGCGCTATGTAATATTTCCGCCTATTCGTATCCATACATTCGCCTCGCTGTGTACGTGTGCGCGAGCCCATTTTTCCCTCGAAAATAATACAACCCTCCACTCCAGCAGGCACCTTATTTATTTCTGAACGAATTTTAGAAGACAAACGGAAACAATGATTTTTAATAATATCGCGTACGTGCTTGCAGCATAGAGAAGGAAATCTTCTCTTGATTGTATCAAGTATATTTCCATAATTTAACTAAAAGACTGGATACAATATTGTTGTGTACTCATCGCAAGTATAACACATCTAGTGCTGTAATTATTTTTTCTTTGCTTTTCCTTCATTGGAAATGAATATGTTTCAACATACGGACAATCATTATCTTCAAATTTATGCTGAGGCACGTTGCGACAATATTTAATCCCTTCACATCGCGGCGAGCAAGGATTTTTTATAGCTTTTGCTTAAATACTTGGAGATCTTTGCTTAAATAATTGCGATAGCTATCAACGTTCTGGAACCTACACCGCCGCGGAGAGGAGAAGGCTTCTTTTAGAGTTAAATAAACATATCCTCTTTCTTCCTCTTTTCTTCTTACTGCGATGAGACACGTTCTACGTATCTCACAAACGAGTCTCTTACGTCATATACAATGTATTCACCGACGACGTTTCTCGTGTTTCACGCTACATTATTACAATTTACGTTGCGAAAACATGACAGCTTCCTTGACGGTGCTTCGCATCCAGACTGTCGCGCAAAAATCGTTAATATCACTTCATGACAAGCGACCACTCCTCAGCAAGTGAGCTGAAGAAACTCGGGTAGTTGTTTCCTAACAAGAGTCGGGTCGGGGAATCGGTTGTTTTTATCAATTGCGTGAGCGCCCTACGTATGAAAACTTCCATCCGCTCACGCCCTGTTTCCTGCTACGAAGATGACGGCTAGATGGACGAAAAGGCGCGTGATGGAGGGCGCGGGGCGAGGAGCCGAAGAGGAAGTTGTTGGACCATGTCGACTGCTTCTCAAGCCAGCCGAAGTGGACCTATCGACTCGAAACGAGTGTGCTCGACGTTAAAATCCCGGTCGCTGCTCCCGTTTCTAAGCCTCCCCTCTACTGACCGTCATCACTCTTTCTCGCTTCCTCTCATCCCTCCAACTTTCTGCCTTTCCTTCACGTGTACGCGCGCGCTCATCCACTCACTCGTGTTAGACGTAAACGATGCAATGGGAGGGGGAGGAGGGGGTGGACACGGTCCAGCAAATCCGAAATCCCCTTTTCCTCAATATAAAGCTTCGTCCCTTTTTTCGGCTTCGATCCTCCACATAGCGAGACTTCGCGCCGCTACTCTGTGAGAGCGAAGTATCGGAGCCGCCGATAAAACCGAGTCGTAACAAACGAAATCGACACTACCAGGTCAGACACTCATACGTGAAAGCGCGCGTCAACAGTAGAATTCAATTTCGAACTAGACGCTAACATTGTCTGACGTATTTCGATCATTCTAAACGTGGAAGTTAGATCTATATATTGATTTTTTAAATTGACATATCGATTCTATAGATAGTAGAAGATTGTAGTTTCTTTTGTTTGAAACAGAATTTTTTTAAGAGTTCATTTCTGTTTTTAACTTTGATATAACAATATATATATGCATAGAAATTAAATATTTGTTATGTTGATGAGATAATAATTCTTCAATAATTCCAAAAATAAAAATAAAAATTATATAAATATTTTTAAGAATGATATGAATGAAATATCGTGACGATATTGTATTAATTGTCTATAACAAATATGTTTCTGTGTTTTCATTGCGAAATATCGCGATATGTTATTAATAAATAAATTATGTTTAGACAACGCTTTACAGAGGTGATAGTCGGTAGGGACGGTATTTCTTCGCAGGGGAGTGACAATATTATTCTGTTTCAGGGTGTGACGGGCGACCGGCTGGCCGGGGGCGCCGCACACCTCCTCCACCTCTTCTTCTTCTTGCCACGACCACAACACACAATGTAACAACAACTACTACTACTACTACTACTACTACTACTACTACTACTAGTGTCGTCCGCGCGAACCACGTTCTCAATGTACTCGATGTGGTACGTCACCATACCCCTACTCGGTGTCTCTGAAGATGTGTCATTAAGTTTTAACACACACGTGTCTCTCACTTTTTACGTTATCGTGTCACACAATTAGTATTTCTCGTTGATGTTTTGATGGGAAAGCTCTGCGAGGCTCAAGATCTGCCCAGAGCCAGGTTGGGCGAACGTGGACCCGAGAGTGCTCTGTCTAATTGGCAATCAGGTTGAATTCGGTGAAGCATATTCTAGTACACGCGGTATCCCGCAAATCTCGTGCTGCAAAATTATTTCGACAAAATTTAACATCGCGCTTTGGCAGAGGCATCCCTCGTGTGCACGTACGTATTCACGCGTCATTTTACCATTGTATATACGTTTTGTATTTTATATATACATATATATTCATTCGTCACATAAACATACACACATACACACACATATATGTATTGGTGGATTATGTCTTCACTGTTCGCTGAATTCCGTTACAATGTGACTTGTGGTTGGTTAAGTTTCGTTGGTTTATCGATGTTCAATGTTGACTGCTATTGTTGGTTGTTAGGTGTTTAGTGGTCATTCTGTGTTGGTGCTCACCCCCTACCGACTATTCCTTGTATTCGCTGTCCTGACAACGAGCACCCCATTTCCCCAACACGAATCCCTAAACTTGATGTTAGAAGTTACGATATCAAACTTGCTTGTCGCCATCTTCTCTGCAGACCGGCGGCCACCGAATTTATTTATAAATAGGTAAATGGTAAGATTTCTCTATTAAATATCAATATTTTTAACAAGCATGTTATTATTTACGAGAAATGTAAATCTGCATGATACAATATAATGCATTTCAATTTTCAATATCGCAATATTATTCACAAAATAATTTTTAAAACACGCAAGAGAATTTTGAATAAAAATATTTTTTCAAATTGGCGAATCGAAAATCGAATATTATTTTGTTTCATCGAAATAAAATTTAAATTTTGACTTGAAAATATGCACATAAAATTTGTTTATATATACCTAATAATAATAAAGGAAAAAAAATACATATTTTATACATATACAGGTCAACAAGATTTTTATGCCATACACGCAGGAGAAATTTTTCTAAAAAAAACTATTTTCCTTTCAGCAGCGCGCAGCTTAGGGAATGACCGACATTTGATTAGAGAATAGTGCATACGTGCTATCGTATTTCTCTTCTGGCATGTACGTTTCACATTTTCTTTATCTCTATCCAACGTGTCTCTGAATATTGAAGACCTTGGGCACTGTTGCAAAGTTTTATTTTACGCCTCAATGCATACTTCAATAACATGTCATCTTCTCTAGTTTATCCATCCGTTAAATAGCAATTTAATGTGATAGAAGCACCCATGAAATAAATAAATCGGCACGTTAATATGTAAACACCATTGCATGCTAATGATAATTATATGCGTGTAAATATTGTCTTCTAAATATGTTTTACATCTATAATGATAATCAAGCTGAGAGCTCGCTATACGTTTGAGCTACTCTTTTAATGAGGTTGGAAAACGGTAGCAAACATTGCTTCGATGGCGGGTTAATCTGTGGTTGAAACGCTTGAATTCTTAACGAGGACGAACCGAGAAGAGACAAGAAAGAAAGACATACTTTTTAAAACAATTACACGAGTAGACAGCATGAAATTGGATGCTTTAACGCGAACGTTAGATATTCACGTCTTTTCTACGCGATATGTGTGATCTTTTTAATATAAAAGGTAATTCTAATAATTACAATTTAGTATTTAAAAAAACGAAATATGATTGATTTTTCTAGTTGATTTAAAAATAAAAACAATAAGAATTTTACTGGACCGTACATTTAAAAATTCAACAATAAGAAATAGAAGTAATGGCCGTAATGATCATAGCTATATCTTTAATGCTTAAACAATTCAATCTATAATAAATTATTATATGTACTATATATATTTTATATAGTATATATAGTACATATAATAATTTAGATTGAATTATTAATATATATATATACCATATTTGTAGTCATTCAAACTGCTCTCCGAATTGGTTTTCCGGACTTATAAACGCATTTAAACTACTGCAGTAATATCGCGAATTAAATTGACAAGCAATTTTAATAATTTGATGCTCGATCAGACATCATATTAAAAAGATGTTAATATGATGAAAAACTAAATAAATAATTTATTGCAAAAAATATTAAAAATTAAAAATTAAAATCTGCACAAGACACAAGAAAGTGCGCGTGCTATAAGACAAAAACATTTATTATATAATACTTTCTTCCCATTTTCTTCAAGTTATGCAATCGAGCGTAGCAAATTATGTTCCAAACTTTCCATTTCCCTCGGAACTGGCCGCCGGCACTTTATTCCATTTGATAGCGATGGCGAGCTGTGGTGAGCAAATAGCTCTTAACAACGACGTATGTGAGAAAGAGACGTAGCTAGTCCGGAAGCATTTATTTACCAGCGGGAGCTTCTCGTAGTTTTACAATGTGGTCGCGCGACGTTCCGCAAAGGCAGCTCGATTCCAGGCGCACCCCGATAATATTAAAAAGTAATTGGATTGCGATCGAATGATGTTGCCGATTTGGCCACGGTTACATTGTCGAGGGAAGGGTGATGGAATCGGCATCAAGGGGGAGGAAGTAAAGGCGGGGGGGTGCGCAGACTGGAATAATGGACAGTCGTTAAATTTAATTGGCACATAATTATCGGAAGTCCAGGCACCAAGCAGATCGCCGCACGCCGCCAATCGTCGCACAGTTCCATTGCTCGAGCTTTAATATTCGAGGAAATTCACATGCAAAGAGGAGGCTAACATCCCATTTCGTCCACGTGTATTTGGTAGAACATATCCGGCGCTTGTGGTTTGTGCCGGCCTAACGAGTCCGGAATCGACCTGCCCTTCATCCGAAATCATTTTCCACCACTAACGTTTTCGTTTCCTTCCTTTTTATCTACCTGGCCGTGCGCGCGTCGAACGGCTCTCGCCTTTTGTTTCTCTCTTCGGATTCTCTCTAGGAGCGCGTCCGCACGATCTTCCTTGACTTTGAATTCTCGTAACTAGATTGAATCTTCGCAGAATGTAATTTGTCTTGGATGCTCGTCGAGCTACCGCTGCAAGCTCGCCACTGGCGAAAGCAACTTGAATAAAACGATAAAGCGCTAGTCTGTGTCTGCGTTGTGAAATGATAGAGAATAAGGAAAGACGGCGAATGTAGCCGATGTAACGGAAAAACGAAGCAAGTTAAAATAAATAAAAATCATCCATTTAGATATTTTCGTAAAGTGAACGATTGTCTCGAGAAATCGATTTCAGGTGCAATCGTCGCACATTTACGATTTCGTCGTTTACGATTTCTGCTAAACAAATCATAATCCTTTGCTGGTAACTAGAACCTTCAAAGATATTGATATTTTGATAGTGAATTTTATTGGTACTTTTTAAAACTTTTAGAATAAATCTCTGTAGAATAAAATCTCACTCTCTTAAAAATTGAACATTGGCAACTCTTTTTCAAGACTCAATTTTTACTTTTTAGAGTGAGATTCCACTCTAAAAAATTTAGAGAATAGATAAATTTAAATCTGTAAAAAATAAGTAAAAACCAATTCGACTTCTATGATAATAAAAATGAACGTTGTTAAAACTTCGACAAGTATATCAGAATTTATATATAATTTAAAACGATAAAAGATTTGCTTTGTTTCTTGAAAATCTCTATTGACGAAAGAGTTAAAATTCATTTTAACTCTTTCCATTTTGCTGGCAAAGGGTTAAGAGTTAAATATGAGATCGTTCGGACAAATTAATTTACAATCATCAATTAGTGGAATATCAATTAGTGGAGTAACGTTCGGATCGCTATCGGTCGGCGAGAAACATACAACGTAGTGGCAACTTGTGGCTGCCACATCGTGGCTTGGAGCTACAACTAGGCGGCGCGTCGGATTATATGTTACCTCGATATCATCGTATACCAATAAATAAGCCCACGATATCATCTTTCATTTCGATAATTATTATTCGGCATGATGTTAATTAATTAAGGACTGAGGTCACCGACTACTAGGGAGTGAATACCTTTTCCCCTCCAACGCTGTTTCATTTCGCGCGCACTCAGAATAGTAGGTAGACGGACCACCCCGCGTGTGTATAGCCATGATCGCGCCAGGTGATAATTCCTCGAGCTCTCTAGCTAATTACCGGATGAAAGAGCTATCTGGCGACTGTCGTCAAAGCACTGGCGAGAGCCGGTAAATGCACCTGCCGCGCCATTGTGATATTTTAGCGCGCTCCCAGTAGTTTTGCCCACAGTCCACGCCGCCGGCCTCGAGATATCTAATTTTCATTCGGCGTTTTCAGCCCCGTGTACATGAAAACCGCAATCCCATCTATGGGATATGCAACGAATATTCAACGCACGTAAACGACATGTTATTCTTTGCCGCCGTCTGTTTAAGCATAATTATTGTTTCCTTTCCATTTAGTGTGTTAAAAAATGAGCGTTTTGTTCAAATTCGTTAAAAAGTTAAAAATTGCTGCCAGTGAAGCAGCTATTTCAAGTTAGCAGATATTTCCGCAATGCCACTGAAAATTGTTCAAATATTGTAATTCCCTGTTGCGCTAGTATTTTGTCTATAAAATATAAGTATAAGTTTTTATTCTCAATTTGGAATAAAGCCAGATGTCTTACGCGAGACTGTATATACATATATATTTTTCTAGTGGACAGTTCCTTCAAGAATGACCAAATATGCAGACCGTCAATGAGACGAAAAATTCTGGAATAATTCTTTCGATGTAAATCGTCTAAGAAGTCAAAGATATCTAAGTGTGAAGCATGCGTGAGATCGGCACGAGGCAAATACTGGGATCATAGAAGCTGTGCCATTCGGCCACAAGCCAAAAGAGCAAGTGAGAGAGAGAAGGAGAGGGAGCCATCGAAGAGAGCTCTTGTAATTTATTAATTTAATGCGTGACTTTTTGGGTCAGAA